TCCACACCCTCAGCCACACCTACTGGGTGCCGGGCTTAGGCGGAGTAATGAGAACTTGGGGTGTTCAGAGCCTTGAGGGCAGACAGACATGGGCGTGGTACCCAGAGAGCACGGGAGGGGGACTGATGAGTGAAGAGGTGGGTGGATGCCCAGAGCAGGGGGGGTCATATGTGGTGATGCTGCCGTGTGACCTTGAACCTGCCCTCTGCACCTCCATGTGCTCATCTGTAGAATGGGGAGGGGACCCGCATCTTCATTTTAGGGTCCTTGAGGATTTCAAGAGGTGATGCAGGTGGATGCTAATTGAGCTCAGTCATGTTAGTGAGACAGACAGAGAATTGAGCCAGGAGTGCTCTGTCCAGCTCAGGCCAGCCAGAAGCCAGGACTGACCCTGAACCCAGGGTGGTGACGAGAGGGTGGCGTGGTTGGGGCCTGTGAACCTGGGGTCAGGGAAGCTGCTCCCAGGAATCGTGGAGACTCCAGTAAGGGTGATCAACAAAGGCGTGTTGACACACGCGGGACTAGAGAAAGGCAGACGCCAGCTCTCATGGAGTGCCCTCGTCATGTCAGCACGGTGCCAAGGCATTACATGCACTCAGCCTTCCAGCAGCCCCGTAGGCAGGAACCATCATTCGTATTTTACAGGAGAAGACATTGAGGCTCAGAGAGGTTAAATATCTTGACCAAAGTCACACAGCAAAGAAGTTATGGAGCCAGGATGGACCCCCAGGCTGCCTACTCCAGCACCCTGCCCTTCCCACGGCCCCACACACTTCTCCCCTCCCAGGTGGCACTGTCTCCCCAGGGGCAGGTGGGCAGGGGGGGCTCCCACCAGACCAGATTGGGGGTTAAGACTGACATGCCCTACCTCACAGGCGGAACAGGACTGTATTGGTTGGTTTAGTATTCATTCAACATTTATTGCTCACCTTAGCATGTGTGGGGCTTTGTGTGGTCAGTACCTAAGATACAGAGGCGACTGAGAGGAAGGTGGACCTGGAAATATGTAAAGTGGAGCCCTTAGGATAAAGGGTACAACGGGGAGGGGGGCATGAGGATAGGGAACTCAGAGAGGGAGACATCATCCAAGACTGGAGAGAGGAAGGGGGGCTTCCTGGAGGAAGGGGTGCCCAAGCTAAATCCTTCAAAAGAAGCAGCTGTTTGTGGGGCACAGGGTCGGGGGGGGGGGGATGGCGTTCCGGGAAGTAGGGACGGCGGGACGCGGGGCTTGGAGGTTTCCGTGAAGAATGGGCGAGGGCTTGTGTGGGTCGCCAGCCAGCCCGTGGCCTGTGCTGTGGTCACCAAGCTGCCCTCTCGGTCTGAAGCTTCTGGATTGGGGGAGGAGCAGGACGGGGAGGGGGGAGGTGGGGGACAGATTGACACGAGAGAGCGAGGCGGCCAGAGGGGAAGCCTCAGGCAGCTCCCCTGGGCCAGAGCTCTGGAGTGCCCCCCCACGGCACCCCACCATCCCCTAACCCCCAGGGCCTGCCGCATCCCGGCCTCCCAGCCCAGGTGTGCAAGCAGAAACACACCCATCGGGAATGCCCAGCACAATTCTGGGGAGCGGGAACTATTGTCCCCATCTTCCTGATGAGGAAATTGACACTCAGGCTTGCCCAAGGTCACAGAGCCGGTGAGCCCGAGTCAGGATGGAGATCAGGACCTGGGCGCTGGATCCAGGGCCTTGCTGCTGGCAGGGCCTTCCCCCCCCCCCCCCCCGACCCCGCCCCGGGGGCTCCAGAGCCCCTCAGGGAGGAGCAGAAGGGAGGCAGGAAGGCTGAGAACCTTTCACCCTGAGCAGCTCTGCGTCTCTGGTCAGGATTTGCAGCTTCCACGCAGCATTCCTGGAGGGGCCTGCTCCTGGCCTCAGAAAGCCTGCTCTGGCCCCCTGACCACCCTCTGTGCTTGTTGCTTTACCCTGACAGCTCACTGCATCTCCACACTGAGAATAGGCAGCGGCGTTGAGCCCATTATACAGATAAGTAAGCTGAGGCTCAGAGAGCTGACTTTACTTGCCCAGTCACCAGCCAGCAAGTGGTGGGACCAGGCCTTGCCTCTGAGTCCATCTGATTCCAGTGCCACCTGTCTATGGCTGGGCTTGCTTCTCAGTGCCACCAATCCTTCCAGGGTGGGAGGCATGGAGGCAGGGAGTCGGGGCTCACAGAGAGGAGGGGACCCCGCTGGTGCCCCCAGCCCCTCCCACATGCCGTTAGTAGCTCTCACCCAGCATGGTAGACAAAGGCAGCCCGGTAATTGGGAGTGAGTATTTCATGCATCCCCCCCGATGTTTTATTGGGTGGAGAGATGCTTGGAGACCAAACGGATGGCACATTCCGTTTATAAAGTGTGTGCATCGTGTTTTATTTCCTGAGTTTTTGCAATCTAGATAACAGATGATGCCCCGGGTGGCTGGCGCTGCCTCCGTAATGGCGGCACCGAGCCTTTGGAGAAGTATTAATAATAGATTGTGTTGATGAGTTTGGAGAAAGTAGCAATCGACCCCCTGCTGCCAAGGCATTAGCACGGCTCTTCGCTCTTCTGAACGCAGCCTGCACGGTGGCGGTGGCGGAGGCTGCAAATGCGGGTCACTCGCCCTGCTGCCCCCACCCCTTTTGCTGGGAACCACAAAGGCCTGCTGACCGCAGCCTAGGACCCTGGCCCTGCCTTGCTGGCACATAGATGCGGCCAGTGCCTATCCGCTCATGGGCCACAGAGGCCAGGCTGCAGACCTAGTGGGCCCCTAAGTCAGGAGGTGGAGCATGGGGACAGACAGAGGGACAGTGAAGGGGGAGCAGGGCAGGGGCATCCTTTGTGTCAGAGAAGCAGGTTCTGCAAACCTGGGCTCCTTCCCCAGCCTCTCTCTTGGCAGGGCTGGACGGCCAGCCAGATTCCTCGAGGCCTCTGCCTCAGGCTGCCATGGACAGTTGGGTAGGTTGTCCCCTGAACAAGGGTATCCAGCCAAAGGGCCAACTTGGTGTCAAAATCCAGCTCATGTTCTTCTTGCAAAGTCATGTCTTGTGTGGGTTGGTGGGGTCCTGTCTTCCTGGAGCAGACAGCCTGGCCTGAGCGTCAGCCCACCCCAAGCCTTCACTCACCTTCTCGAACACTCATTGAGGCCTCCTGGAGGATCAGGTGGAGCCAGGTCCTGCCTTGTGGAGTTGGGAGCTGAAAGGGGCATGCACTGTCACTCCGATGTGACCCTCACTCACCCAGTTACATGCTCAGTATCATTGCATCCTGACGACAGCCCTTTGAGGGAGGTCCTGTTGACATCCCCATTTTACAGTACAGGGAACTGAGGCTCAGGTGAGCAAAGACGAGGCTATCTCCCCCAGACCAGGGCGTCAAAGAAGGCTTCCCAGAGGAGGTGGCGTTGGAGTTGGGCATTGCAGGATGAGTAGGAGCCTGCTGGGTAGGATAGAGGTGGGTGGCAGGGGTTGCTGGGATGTCCCCAATTTGAGTGCTGTGGCTGGTGCCAGGGCAACGGGCAGAGCTGGGGTTGGCCCTGTCCACGCGCCCCAGCAGCTCGCCGTGGGCGGTGCTGATGGCAGCCCCGGGAAGGGAGGCAGGCCGAGTGCCTTGCATTTATGGCCGTTTCTGTTCCAGAACCGATTAGTGGAGAATTGCAGCTGTAATCTGTGCCTGTGATGGCGAGCCATAAAGAGGGATGGGATGTGCGCAGCACTCCCAAGGTGGCGCCCGCAGACGTGGCCCGGGGACGTGGGGAATGAAAAATGGTTTTAATTCCCTCCCAGCAGCAATAATTTGATTCTTCATAAATTTTTCCATCAAAGTGTTGTTGAGGCTGAGTTCCCACAGAGCAGGGCACGTGACAGGGATGAGGGGCCTGGAGGAGCGGTCAGTAGGGGTGGGCAGAGGAGGGTCACGCTGCTCAGACCCTTCTGCACATGCGCATGCTGGCCGAGGCACGGAGGCCCCTGCCCAGCTTTGTTGGGAGATGGAAGACAGATCCACTGTGTCATGGAGGGACCAGAGCAGGCCCAGGCTCAGAGTCGGGTCCATCATTTACCACCCCGGGGACCCTGAGCAGGTGCTTCTGCCTGTCAGCACCTCAATTTCCTAATCTCTAAAATGGGATTAATATTCGTTCCTGGGTCGCAGGGTTTTTGCGAATATTGAACGCATTTCTGCACACACAGTGCTTAGAAGGGCACCTGGCGAGCCGACATGCTCAGTGAACACCTCTGTGCAGGCGGAGATGCCTAAGCTGAAACGAGAGCTGAGTAGGTGTTGGCGAAGCCAAGCGGCCGAGAAAGAGCATGTGGGAAGGCCAGTGTGACAGTGCTCTGGAGAAACTGCAGGCTGTTCCGTGGGGCACAGCCTGGGGGAGACGAGGCAGGATCCTGAGGGCCTTGAGTGCCAGACTCAAGCACTTGGATGTTGTCCCAAAGGCACTAGGGAGCCATGGAAGAGTCTGGAGCAGGGAAGTGGCGTGATCAGAATATGTGGTTTAGAAAGATCCCTCTGGCTCTCATCCTGGAGGGTGAGTTGATGGGTGGGAGGGGCTGAGAGCCCAGGCAGGGGACTGGGGCAGCCGCTGGGGCAGGAAAGGAGGGGCCAAGGCTTGGGGGTGGGTTGGGCAGGCCCAAGGATTGCTTGGACATTGGGGTGAGGGAGGGGCAGGGAGGAGGAAGAGCAGGGCCAGGAGTGAGCGTTGATGGCACCTGACTCTGGGGGAAGGTCCAGGCTGACCCTACACTCTGCCCTCTAGTGGCTACTGTGTCTCTGAGCAGGAAGGGCCCTGAGCTGACACAGCCGAGAGGGCACCTCTGGGCAGGGGCCGTGGGACGGGCCGTGGGGCTGGCCGGCCAGAAGGGGAAGGCTGCAGGCCCTGCCCCTCTCTGGCTCCGTGCCCAGGGAGGGTCTCTCCCACTCGGGCTGGACGGTCAGGGAGGCAGGAGGGGGAGGCCCTGGGTGGGCAGTGGCCTCTGGGAGGGACCCCTGCACCCGGCCAGCATGCCCGCTCTGTGCACCCGCAGGCTCTTCGCGGCCAAGTGCAGCGGCTGCATGGAGAAGATCGCGCCCACCGAGTTCGTGATGCGGGCGCTGGAGTGCGTGTACCACCTGGGCTGCTTCTGCTGCTGCGTGTGCGAGCGGCAGCTCCGCAAGGGCGACGAGTTTGTGCTCAAGGAGGGCCAGCTGCTGTGCAAGGGCGACTACGAGAAGGAGAAGGACCTGCTCAGCTCCGTGAGCCCCGACGAGTCCGACTCGGGTGAGCCATGCCGGGAGCTGGGGCAGGCGGCAAGGAGGGCGCTTGGTGGGGTGCCATGCGGGGTGCCCGTGCCGGAGAGGCTCGCTCCTGCCCCCAGGCCCACAGACAGCACACCCCCATCCGTGTGCATATGTGTACTGGTGTCCACAGACACACATGCACACGGACACTAATGTGTGCACACCCCCACTGGCACACAAATGCACCTGCGGACACTACCACCAAGGCACACATACCCGTGCCCATGCATACGTGCATGTGATCACAAATGCACACCTACAAGCACATAAAATGCATGTGCGGATACGCAGGCCCAGGAGTGTTTATACACAGACACACAGACATGTATAGACATGTGCTTACATGCCCAAGCATGCAAAAGCTCACATCCAGGGGCACACACATGCACACACACATGCGTGTGCACACCTGACCCAGGACACGCCTGCCCTAAGCACCTCCACACATGGCAGCACACGTTTGTCCATGTACTCACGGGTACCGTGGTTTGCACACATGTGCACATACACCCTGCTCTCTGGCCCGCCGCCCCTCCCCCTCTCTTTTCCTTGCGAGGCCCCCTGGAGGCCCAGCACCATGGGGTCTCTGCCAGCACCGGGTCTGCAGGCTGCTGATGTCCCAGGGGCCGGGATCTGATGTGTCCGCTTGCCATCGGCCCCCCTAGAGCCCTCAGCATTGGGGAGCAGGAGCCCTGAGCCGTTCCCTGTTTCCTGGTGTGGGGCCTGGGTCCTCGGGGAGAGGGAAAGACCCCATTTCCCAGGCTGAAGGCACCTCTCTACTCCGCTCCGGCTCCCAGAAGGACTCCGTATGGAGTGTGGAGCCCTCTTGGCAGGAAGGGCAGGGCCAGCTGGGAACAAGTCTTAGGAGGGAAAAGCCAGGGAGGTGGCTGCGCCCTGTCATTCCTGGGGTGGTGGGGAGAGGCTGGAGCCGGGAGCGTGGAGAGGAGATGCCCTGGTCCACTGGGGCCCTTGGGGTAACCGAGAGCCTACGGTCACAGGATCTGCCCATACAGAAGGGCTTTGTCACTGCCGGGGCCCTTGGTGGAGGTAGTGAGCTCCCCATCCATCTGTCCCTCTGTCTATCCCTGGGCAGGGCACCACTGTAGCTGCCTGGACTCCTGTGGGAGAGCAGACCCTGGCCTGGTACCACTGGCCTGTTCAGACCAGGCCGGGGGAGGGGTCTCTGAGGGAGGGGCCGGCCCCACCCACAGGGGCTCATGCTTAGAGGAAGACAGGCCTGGGGACGGGAGACTAGTTCAGGCTCGGGGTGGGGGCAGCAGGAGGCACGTGGTGGGGAAGCTGTGCTGTCTGTCTGGCACTGGCATCTCTGAGATCCACAACTCCAGGGTGTGCAAGTTGCTGTGTGTGCATGGTAGGCATGGGTGTGTCTCTGGGTGAATACGCGTGCTTCTGCATGCACATGTGTGTGTGCCTGTCAGGTGTGTGCATGCCTGTATGTCTCTGCCTGTGAGCGTGCACCTGTGTGTGTGTAAATATGTCTGTGAGCTGCACATGCTCTACGTTTGTGGGTCCACGTGCCAGTCTGCATGTGCGAGTGCTGGTGGGTGAGTGCACCTGTGTGTGTGTGTGTGTGCATGTGTGTGCACGCCACAGTCATGAAGACTCCCCTGGGAGAACATCTAGAGTGTGTGTTTTTGCCTGTCAGGTCTTAGTGCCTGGAAGCTTCAAGGAAGCAGGCTCCCCGGAGTCTCCTTGCTGGCTCTGGGCTAGTGCCGTGGGGACCCGTTTCCTCCAAGCTCCACATACTGGGCCGGGTCTGCAGGGGGCCGGAGGCCAGCGTGGCCGGTGTGGGCAGGAGGTGACGGGATCCCACCAGGCAGCAGGGGTTCAAGGCTGTACACAGCTGTACAAGGCTGACGGGCTGGGTTGTGTCCTCCACAGTAAAGAGCGAGGACGAGGATGGGGACATGAAGCCGGCCAAGGGGCAGGGCAGCCAGAGCAAGGGCAGCGGGGATGACGGGAAGGACCCGCGGAGGCCCAAGAGGCCACGGACCATCCTCACCACGCAGCAGCGAAGAGCCTTCAAGGCCTCATTCGAGGTCTCCTCCAAGCCCTGCCGGAAGGTGAGGGGTGGCCAGGGTGGGGCGGGCCGGACACCCCACCCCGCCGCCTTTCCAGACACCTCCCCTGCCGCCCTCGCTGGGGGTGAGGACATCCCTCCGCCTCCCACCTGTCCCACAGTCCCCCTAGACGCGTCCCCTCCTGGTGGCACCCCACCCCGGGCCCCACCGGGGCCTGACCTGTCTCCCTCTCTCCGGGCAGGTCCGAGAGACGCTGGCGGCAGAGACGGGCCTCAGCGTGCGCGTGGTTCAGGTCTGGTTTCAGAACCAAAGAGCCAAGGTGAGAGGCCCCCTCCCACCCGTGCCGGGCATGGGTGGAGTGGAGGGGAGCAGGCCGAAGAGCCACCGGGGCCTGATGTGGGGGTGTGGGTGGGGCAGGGAACGAACAGGGCGGAGGCGGACCGGCCCCAGCTGTGTCTCCTGCAGATGAAGAAGTTGGCGCGGCGGCACCAGCAGCAGCAGGAGCAGCAGAACTCGCAGCGCCTGGGTCAAGGTGAGCCGGGGCTGGGGGCCGGGGGTGGGGACGGGCTCCAGTCCCTGGTGACGAGACTCCCAGGAAACCTTCCACCAAGGCCCTCGGAGCTCGGGCAACTTCTGCCTTGGAACCAGCTGAGATCAATAAAGTAGAGAGGAGCACAGATGGCAGGGTGGGCAGCCTGGAGGGGTGGCAGAATTTCCCCAAACGGCCACCGCTGCCTCCCCGTCACCGTGTGCCAGGCACTGTTCTCGCCATTCGATGCTCTCCGTCTCTCTGAATTCTCCCAGATCCCCAGGAGGAAGGGCACTGTCGCATCCCTTTTCACATATGAAGAGACAGACTCAGACCAAGGGACTTGTCGGGATCACTCAGCTGGTCAGGGGCAAAGCCAGGCCTCAGCCCTGAGCAAGGAGCTCCTAGGCCGGTGCTAGCATGACCATGCACCCTGCTGCCCACGTTAGAATGCAGCAGAAGTCTCCAGAGAAAGTCTGCAGGGTGTTGAGGGTCCAGGACGAGCTCCTGCTGGGTGGTGAGGGACAAATTTAAGGGCGAGGGCCAGGTCCCCCAACACTGGGCTATGCCAAAATTCCACATCTTGGGCCAGGGCTGGTCTCCCAGGCCCCATGGGGACATGGAGCCTTCAAGGCCTTGAAGGGAGGGCACAGAGAGCCCCTGAGACTGCTAAAGCGGAGTGGGGCCCCAGAGCCATCTGCTCCCAGGTAGACAGGGGCCCCGGGATGGACACCAGGGCACTGATGGTGGCTCCTTCTGTCAGGCCTCTGGGGGCCAGGCTAGTGTCCCCGGCTGCACCCAGGCCTTCAAGGCAGTGGCCTCGGAGCCCAGTTCTTTCTCTGCTCCCTCTCCTGAGACAGCCCCGCCTCCTGGGGCTGCAGCCACTGCCTCAGATCTTCCTGCAGCCCCCAAGCTGTGCCGCCCTCTCGTGCTCCCAGCTGCCTCCTAGACGCAGCCTCCCCCAGAACGTTCCATAGTCCCCTCGAGCTCCTCCTGGCTCATACTGTGCTCCACACTGCTGCCCCTGCCGCCACGTCACCTCTCACCATTCCCATGCTACATGCTATGTCTGCTCAGTCACCAAGTCAGGCAGTGGTTTCTTGTCGGTGTCCCTAAGGCCCCTCCTATAGTCTCTCCCACAAATACCCTGATGGGGACCCGGCCCCTCCCCCTGACTTCCTCCTCCCAAGGGCCCCGCCTCTGTCCTCTCCCCTCCCAGCCTTTCTCCACAGTTCCCCTTCCACCCCCCAAGCCCTCCCCTGGCCTCCTGCGGCCTGGGAGTTTGTCCTCACTCTGCTCAGCCCCCACGCCATTTCTCCCCCACCCGGCCTTCCCTCCTCCTCCAGCTCTGGCCCGTGGACTGGGCTCCCCACTCCCACCGGCGCTGTCCCTCCTCCCTGCCTCTGCTGCCCTCCAGCCTGGCAAGCCTGACCCCGTTTGGGCCTGTGGAGCCCCCTCGGGAGTAGGGGGCCCCTTCCTCCAGGAAGCCTTCCCTGAGCCTCTTTGGCCTGGGTGTGGGCCCCGTCTCTATGCTCTCGGGTGCAGGGCGTTCACTGTGTCTGTCCCCTGGGGCCTGAGCCTGGAGGGCGGGGCATTGGCAGAGGGAGGAGGTAGGGGGGCTCTGCCCTTTGATCATTGAATCCTGGAAGAGGAGCTGGAGGTGGGTGTGGGGGTGCTGGTGGGGAGACAGTCAGATGTCTGGCTCAGTAGCCCTGGGGGCCCAGGGAGGCCGTAGGCCTCAGGCGGGCCAGGGCGTGTCCCTGGGCAAGTCCAGAGAAGGTCAGAGGGACGGCAGTTGGCCCCCTGGACTGGGGGTCATGTGGGAGGTCAGTGGGGATGCCTGGGGTACATCTGTGGGGGCTCAGGACAGGGCGGGCAGGGCCCATCGGTGAAGGTGTGCTCTGTCCCCAGAGGTCCTGTCAAGTCGCATGGAGGGCATGATGGCCTCCTACACGCCGCTGGCCCCGCCACAGCAGCAGATCGTGGCCATGGAGCAGAGCCCCTACGGCAGCAGCGACCCCTTCCAGCAGGGCCTCACGCCGCCCCAAATGCCAGGTGACCACATGAACCCCTATGGTAAGCCTCCCCACCCCCCGCCCACCCCGGCCCCACCCCTGCCCCTGCTGCCCGGGCAGGCCTGGCAGCATGACGGCCGCCTGTCCCCCCAGGACCCAGGCAGGGGCCAGCACAGCCCACCTGCCTCCTCCGGACAGGAAGGCGACACCCTGAGGTCCCACCCACAGCCCCCAGCCCCTTTGGTCAGGCACGGCAGCAGGTCATCCTGTCCCCCTCCTCTCCGACCACATACCCCGCAGGACCGACAGAGCCCCCGAAAGCCTGCACCCCGGTCCTGATGCCCCGTCTGCCCCGCAGGGAACGACTCCATCTTCCACGACATCGACAGCGATACCTCCTTAACCAGCCTCAGCGACTGCTTCCTCGGCTCCTCGGACGTGGGCTCCCTGCAGGCGCGGGTGGGGAACCCCATTGACCGGCTCTACTCCATGCAGAGTTCCTACTTCGCCTCCTGAGAGCAGCAGCCGGGCGCACGGACGCTTGGGCGAGGGTCCTGGGGTGGGACTGCGGCGCACAGCACAGCCAGCCTCGGCGCCCCGGCCCTGCCGCCCGTACGGACTCTGCAGACAGCCATACGGTGCCCTCCCCTGGGCCGGCCGGGCCTGGCCACGGCGCCCGCTCGGCACCGCCAGACAGGCAGACGGGCGCAGCCTGGGCAGGGGCTGTGTCCTGCCCACGAGACCACGTCACTCCCGGGGACCCAGAGCTCGCGGATGCCACTTGCCCCCCAGCCCCACCTCAGCCTCCATCGCCTCCTCTCCCTCCCCATCTCTTTTTTGGGAAGCTTAAATTCTCTCTATTTTTTTAAGTGTCCTCTCTGTGTCCAGCCAACCTCCACGGCCTGGGCCTGGGCCGGCAGGGGCCCTGGGTGCCTCAGGATGACGATGTTGTGGGCGGTTACCTGTAGGGAGCCCTGCCTCCCACCGCGGGCAGACCTGCTGCCTAGTGTCACCCCTCCCCGCCCGAGCCTGGAGCAGAAGTGGGGAAGAGCCTGTGGGGCGCCAGGCCCACCGAGTCACGGGGGTCGGGGGTAGATTGAGCCCAGGCAGACTCCAAGGGACCAAGACACACATTCCAGTGCACACATACACTTAAAGGCACACCCACGCAGACCCGCACAGAGATCTGTAGAGACGCTGCAAGAGACAGCGAGGCCTCTGTGGAGCAGCCCAGGAAAGGGGACGAGGCCAGGTCGGGGCCGGGACCCCTCTTCTTAGAACAATAGGGGAGCAAGGGGGAGGGGAGGAGGAAAGGGAGAGGATGGGGCAGGCTTGAAGCACGTGGATCCAGATGTGTCCGAGCCCAGATGGGGCTGCTGGGCAGGCAGGATGGCCCAGCCCCAGCCAGCTCCAAGGGAGAGACGGAGCCCGCAAACCAGGTAGAGTCAGGCCAAATGGCAGAACCCCAGGTGGAAAGGGACCTCAAAAGTCACTCACTGGGCATTCCACCTGAAGCCTGGCTCCTGCCCAAGCCACCTCTGCCTCTCCTCACGTACCTCCAGTGACAAGGAGCTCACTACTTCACTCCAGTCAGCTGCCCTTTTCTGCTGGTTTCACCTCTGCCTTTTTCAACTGAGTCCTCCCTTCTCCAAGGCAGGCTTTTCCAGCTCCTCCAGCCCTTCCTTTTAAAGCTGTACCCCCAACTGAGCTCCAGCTTTCCCTCTAAAGGTGTGGAGCAGATATAACCCAGTCTTCCCACTGACATCAGCCAGCCAAAGTGAGCAGGCCCATCCCCTCCCCTGCTTTAGGCGCTCTGCCTCTGTTAATGTGGCCCAAGATCCAATGACTTTGGAAACTCACCCTGCCCTTCTGTAACGAAATTCCCTGACCTTAACACACATGTCGGCTAAGCCACATCTCTCTTCTCTGTGTGTATGGTAGGGAAGAGGGTATTTATTGTTTAGACCCCGTAAAGGACCTTGCGTTTTTTTCTTGTTACGTTTCCTCTTGTTTGATTCAGTCCAGCTCGTGGAGTTTCTCTGCACCCCAGCTCCGTGACCACTGTTTTGCTCTCCCTCCTGAGCACATCTGCCCAGTGAGGAGTCGGCCCTGTGCATCTCACCCCGGGAGCGTGGACCCCTGGGGCCTCTTCCTGTTTGGCGTTGCCCCGTTAACCAGTCCTACTTGGATGGTGGGTTCCCACCGCACTTTCACCCCATCTTGCCGAGTGCCCGCTGGAAGGCAGATACGCTCCATCACCCCTGCCCCTAATCTACTCCCTGTCAAAAGAGGAAGCGAGGTCAGGCTGATAGGCCCTGTTCTCAGCGACCCCTCCCTGGCCCCTGGTGGTCACTGTGTCCTCAGCCAGGTGCTCACAGCCCTGCCTTTAATTCTAACCCGAGCCCTTGGCCACCACGCTGAGGTCTGCCTGGTCCAGCCTTGGAGTGAGTAGGACAATGGGTGTCTCTCCCTGCCTTTGGGCGCATCTGCCTGGCCCTCCCTGGGGTCCTCAGAGTTCGCCAACCTGCTCTGTGGTTTTGCTCCTCTGTCCACTGGGGGGACCTCAGCCCCTCCAGAGCGTCCTGGGCCAGTCTCCCCGGCCCTCCTGGGCTTCTGCACTCATGCCTCGCCCTGCTCTTCACCAAGGCAGGACAGTTGGGGGCATGCGGCTCAGCGCCCGCCCTGGGCCCGAGCAGCCAGCCTCCCCCTCCTGGGCTCTTCCTCCACATGGAGTTCCCACAGGAGCTCAGCTGATGTCCTTGGTCCTTCTGCAGCCTCGGTCCTCCGGGCTTTGTGCCTCTTGGTCCTGGACCCTTAGGCAGCCATGCTAGTTTCTTGAGAGACGCTTCCCTTCCTCCTCTGTGGTCACACAGTCACACGAGTCCAGGGGTAGACGCCCCCACCCCCAGGAGGCCTGGCCCTTCTCCCCCAGGCTCTTGAAGTTGGAAGGAACCTCAGGAATGGGTCATCTGGTCCACTGCATTATTTTGCAGCTGGGAAACTTTGGCCAGGAGAAGGGAGGGGACCAGACCTCTCACAGCCAGTCGGTGACAGAGGAGAACAGGGACGCCAGGCCAGCCCCTCCGCCCCGCCTCTGGGGAGTCGCCTCCAGGAGAGGGGTGTGCCTCTTCCCACTCTGGGGCCTCACAGCCTTGAGTCTGGCTCAGGCTCTGCCCCCACCAGGAGCTGGTACAGGGACCCTGCACTCAGGACCCACAGACTGTCAGAGCCAGAGGGACCTCCGAGCCCCTCGTGCCAGAGACGGCCCGTCCGCCGTGGTTGGGTGACTCCTGCCCTGTGTGCTGCAGCTCACTGCCCCCAGGCTCCCTCAGGCTCCCCCAGACGCGGGTGTCCACTCTTCCCGGCCCTGGCCCGGGCGTGGGGACACAGATGAACGAGAGGTAGGGCCCGCCCTTGAGGGACCATCTCCTAGGAGAGGCATGCAGACTCCGAGCCAGCCCTGTCCAGACGTTGCTGGAGACCCACTTCTCAGGGGAGGAACCTGACTCAGAGAAGGGAGGCAAGTGTTTAAGGTTGCCCAGCAGGAGCGCACAGAGCCAGGCAGCCTTGTGGGGGTTGGGGGTGAGCTGAGCTGAGCAGGCTGTTCCCACTTCACGTGGAAGAAGTGCAGCCTCGGCTGGGGGCGGGGGCAGCGAGTAGCCAGGACCACCCCCAACACCCACTGTGATGTGGGACCACCGGGGTGGGGAGCCCAAGGGAAGAGGAGGTAATGGTCTGGTCTCCGGAGAAAGAGGTCGAAAGTGAGAGGTGGGCAGGGCGAGTGTCGGAGAAAAGCTGAGTTCCGCTTCCCTGACGGGTAAGTCGAGGCTGGGAGAGAGGAAGGAATCTGCCCCCAGTAACACAGCGAGTGGAAGCAGAAGAAGAACAAGAAGGCGGGCTCCTGCCCCTAGCGAGAGCCTCATCTGCCTGCTCCACGGGGCCTCCGAGGGAGGCCGCACAGACAGGGGGACACTGTGGTTCCAAGGGTCAGACAGCGGGGCCAGCAGAGCCTGTAAGAGAAGGGTCGGTGCACCCCCTTCCACCTTGGAAGGCTTCCTGGAGGAGGTGGGGGGCCCACTGCATCCAGGTGAGCAGGGCCCAGCAGGGTCAGGCCCCCATCACGAGGTCGGGGGCAGCCTCTTCTCCTTTAGGGGGCTCAGCTGCCCGCTAGCTGGGAGGCTGCCTCACTCGCCCCCGGTGAGCCCTGCCCGGCCCCAGCCCGAGCTCTGGGCACCACATGGGGTGAGCATCACCCCTCCTTTCTGGGGGAACCTGCAGCTCTGGGGCTCACGCTGCCCTGTGGGGAAGAGGGTCCACGCTCACGCACGCACACAGGCACACACTCACACCTGGACGCACACGGAGGCTTGCACACCCACACTCCCGGGCACCCGCGGCCCGGGGCCGGGGGAGCAGGAAGGACCCTCCCACATTTGGCCCTCGGAAGGTGCCATTTCCAATGAGCCTCTTTGCTGGTGCCCCCACCCCCACCGGGGGTCCTGCGGGAGCCCAGCTCAGCCAGGTGTGGGGACCGGGCCACCAGCCATTCTTTTTTCCTTGTACAGACTCTCACTGCCCACCCACCATCCCCAGACACATTTTATTTAATAACTTGTCATTGTTAAATTATTTATTAGCATTTACCACATCACCACCCCCACCCTGCCCTCCACTCTCACCTTCTGCCTCTTCCCACAAAGCAGAAAATGGAAACAACAACAAAAAAAGATGAGACGTCAGTATATTTGTAAATAAACCAACCTGTACACGCCCGTGTTGCCTCTCCTTGGGGGGAGGGCTGTGCTGGGCCTGAGCTGGTCCCACATGAGACATGGGAGGTTCCAAGATGGGCACCAGGGACAGCCGATCAGGAGGAGAGAGGGCTTGGGGTCCCTGGTCTTGCCCAACCCATTCCTTGCCCCATCCCATAATCCTCCTCTCCCCATCCTCATCCTGAACCATCTCCATCCTTCAAAAACAAATGCATCCGTCCCATCCTACTCTATCCCAGTCCCCAACACTCACTCATCCATTCATTCATTCAACCAGCCAATGAAGGGCCTCTTAAGTGCCAGCCACCAGGCTGAGGACCTGGGATCGGTGGTCTCTGCCTCAAGGAGGTAGACAGTGTGGTATGAGCTCAGCTGAGGCACAGTGAGGCCATGTTACAGGGTTACCCAACCTCACCTGGAGGGGCAGAGCATCATGGAAGACTTCCCGGAAGAAGCTACATAATAAGCTGGGGTAGGAAGTTAACCAGCATGGCAAAGACTGAGTGGGGAGGAGGAGTGTCTGGGAGTGCCCCAGGCTTGTGCAAAACCTCACGGGCGGGCAAACTCTTGTGAATCTCCTAAACTTCGAGAATAGCTAAGTTTCGTGGTGAGGGAGAAGCAATGAGGCTGGAGGTGAGGCCAGACCATCCAGGGCCCTGCTGCTGGGTGGAGAAGAGATCTAATTAGATCATGTGGACTGGATGGAGGCAGGGAGGTCAGTTGGGTCTCATAGGTGAAAATGACAATGGCTTTGACTAGGGTGGTAAGAAGGGGGAGAAATAAGGGGACATATCCCAGAGATATTGATGAGGGAGGGGAGTCCAGGGAGCATCAAGGTTCCTGGAGCCCTCTGGTCGGGGGCACGTGAAGCTGAGGGTCTCGGGGACATCCAGGTGGAGATGTCCTGGGGCAGGGTTGGGCCTCAAAGGGACTGGAGGCTGAGCGAGCAGGTGTGCAACAACCAGGTAGATGGTCGTTGAGGCACAGGTGGGTGAGCTCACCCCGGGAAGTGCGACATGGAGGATGCAGAATCTGAGGCCAGACCCCGACTCATCATGAAGGCTTGGGGCTGGACACGGCCGTGGGACCCGGGGCAGATGGAAGGGGCATGGCAGAGACTCAAAGGAATTTGGTTCTCAAAGTATCTTCCTTGAAGTCTCAGGGTCCCTCAGAGAACCTCGGAGAGTATCAGTGTATGTGAGTGTGTGTGTGTGTGTGTGTGTGTGTGTGTGTGTGCGCGCGCGCGCATGCGTGTCTATGGAGGTGGCTCTGCGGCTTGGTTTGCTCCGGTACACTGTGCGTGAAGCGGGGTGTCTACAGGGGTCAGCGTGTCGGGAACAGCTGGGTCTACAGCAAGGCTGTCCCGATCTGCGTATGGAGTCGGCGTCTGCGTGTGCGTCTGCGTCGGTGAAGATGTCTGTATGTCCGCACATGGGGACAGCACTGTACGTCAGCGTGCGTCTGTGCATCCGGGAGGCCTCTGGGCCTCAAGTCCACGGACCTGAAGTCCTACTCTTCTCTCCCTTCCCCGACCCATCTCGCTCCTTGTCAGCCTCCTCTCCCGACTCCTGCCCCAGGAACCACCTGGAAGCCACCCCCGGCCTGTCTGCCTCTGCCCGCAGGCACTAGCGCCCCCTAGGGGCACACTCCACCCTGCACCCTCTCCCCAGCCTCTGGGTGATTCTGCAGCCACAGGGCTTCCCAGAGTGTAGACATGTTGAGGCCCTCTCCTCCTCTGCACCTCGAAACCCTGAGAGGCAGGTATTAAAGTCCCGTGTTCCAGAAGGGAAACCCGAGGCTCCGAAGGAGGAAGTGACCGGCTCAATGCGACAAAGCTAAGGAGGGGCAGCAGAACCAGGGTTCAAAAGCAGGTTTGGCTGCAAACCCATGGCCTTGCCCGGCCTCGGGCTGCCTCGCCAAGCCCACACTCTCTTGCCCCTTGATCTGGTCCTCCGAGGCCAGGCTCAGGGACCCGGGGAGCAAAGACACTCTCTCCCACCTTGAGAGTGGCCTCGCCAAGTCTCAGAGAAACTAAGTCACTCGGCCCAGACTGCACAGCACAGAGGCAGGACCAAACTGAGTCTTCCAGCCAAGCCCCAGGAGAGGGGCCACCAAGCTCCATGCACCCCATGCCCCCCGTCCCCCCCCCACCCCTGCCGCCAGCAGGGGGCCGCCAACTCTTGCCTTAAGCAACCATTTAAAATCCTGTCACTAAAAAATGTTGGGAGGGTGGAGGGGAGGGGCTGTGCTAATCCACTGCTCCCCCCTCCCCTGCCTGTCTTCTCCTCCAGCCCAGAAGGTGAGGCAGGGAGGTGGAGGAAATGTAGGCGGAGTCTGGAGACAAGAGAGAGCATGGGAGGGGATCTCCGTCCAGGCTCCCCTTTCTGGGGGCAAATTCGAACAGGACAAATGCTAGCCGAGTCTCCGTCACTGCCAGTCGCGGCCTTCAGCTCACTGACCCTCGCAATGACCCAGAACAGCTCTTATCCCATTGCACAGATGCGAAAACCAAGGCTTGGAGAGAAAACTTGCTCCAGCGTGATTCCTCCCAGGCACTTGGGCTTGGAGAGGGTCTTGGCCATGGATCCTGTGGGAGTTGAGAAAGGGGGCAGTCCCAGAAAAGGAACACGGCTTGGAGCCCATCCTACAGAACTTGTCTTCAAGGGGTCTGAGGCCCAGCCCCGTCCTGACTCTGGAATTCACCGCCGCTGGCCAGTCTCCGCAGCCTCCGCTGAGAAACCGGCCGGGCTGCGAGCCGTGGATGCGGGAAGGTGAGGCGTGCGCAGCAGCTACGCAGAATGAGAATTCACCTGGACAGATGGGCGGTTCGGCAGGTGGGCCAACAGGCGTTAGGAGGATGGGCAGGAGGAGGACCACTGCATCCAGCCCTGCAGCCCCCACTGGATGTGAAGGGCGCCCCCCTGGACTCTGGCAGTGCAGCTGCTCTCCTCTCCGGTGGCTGGACTCCTGGACTGTTCCATGGCGGGGAGGCAGAGGCTGAGGACGCTGCTGGGCTCCACTCATGGCCTCTGTGGGGAGAGCAGCCTTCAGGGAGCCTCGCCGGGCACACGCACTGCCCTGAGCCCCGCACAGCTCCTTTCGCATTCTCCTCGCAGCCCCAGGGGCGGGAACAATTGTAATGTCCACTTGACAGATGAAGACACTGCTCTCCCCAGTTCCTGCCACGAGTTCCTGTCCTGCAGCCAGCACAGCTCTGCCTCAGAGGCCCCTTTGGCCTCTGAGTGTCCCAGACCCCATGCCAAGCAAACTTTGACCACAGGCACTGACAGACGGATGGGGGGCTCTATAGCTTTGAATTCAGAGCACCCCTGAGGCTTGACTGGAGAATGGAGATAGCCCCCAAATACGCATCCCTTTTGGTCTTCATCCTTTGCATGGCACACACTCCCAAGACCCCGTGCCCACCTGGGAAGAGCACAAGAAGGAGCAACGAGAGAGGCAGAGAGGACTCAAAGGAGGTGGGGGTTCATCAGCTGTGACTGGGAAATCAGGGAAAGCCTCCTGGAGGAGGCAACAGCCAGAACAAACGCTCCGAGGTGGGAACTGCAGGGGGCCAGGGAGGCAGTGCATACCCGGGTTGAATTCAGGGTCCAAAGGCCAGAGGTGGCAGGAGGTGAGATGCCCCGTGCTGCCCCTGCCCCCGCTGGGCACGCCAAGGGTCAGTCAGGCATCTGGCAGGGGGAGGACGCCTGACACATCCCATGCTCTGAGTTTTCTGGGAATAAAGGCAGCACGTTATGAGATGTTGAATAATACAGAGGAGTATATGTAATGTACTTATCTGTGGCCTAAACAGGAATAATAAAAAACAAAAACCCCTGTACCCACTCCCAAGATAAAGAAAATGTACATTTTCAATTCCTTGGAGCCCTTGATGTGCCCCACCATGGTCCCAGAAGCCTCTCTGTCTTTTCGGAAATCTCTGATCCAAATCGGAGCCAAATCATCGGTGAGGCAAGTTCTCAGCCCAGAGTCTAGCCGGAATGGGCCCAGTGGCAGGCGGCCCCTCGTGCATCTCCCGAAGGCGGAAGAACACCCTGGCGCCTTTCTATGAGCAGCACCCCACTTTCACCCCTCGCCTCCCTTATCAAAGCTTGGGGTGCTTTCCTACTCAATCGCCAAGACGGACCAGAAGCTACTTTGAATTGCGCTACTGAACCTGCAGTTACACGTCAGGCCACGAGGTGGCGATCGGAAGTCACGCAGGTGAGACCCAAGCGGCGGCTGGGCTCCGAGACGATGCGGGGATGGTGGTGGCTTCAGATTACGGCCAGAGAAGGCAGCAGGAAAGAAACCTCCTCCTGGAGGCTTCTGTGAGCCAGGCCCGGTGTGGGCGCTTTATAGGGACGATACCGCGCGTTCTTCATCACAACCCTGAGAAGCAGGTGTGAGCCTTCTCATTTAATGGAACAGGAAACTAGGCTCAGAGATGTTAAGTAACCTACCTGAGGCCACACAGCTAGGAAATGGCAGAGCTGAGATTTGAACCAGAGCTTGGACAGAGACACAGGAGGAGGAAAACAAGGGGTGGTGGGAGGGGAAAAGACAGCAACCTCTTCTTGAGCACTTGCTTCAGCCACTCAGAGCCTTGTTTTGCCCCCTCACTAGCTCCTCACACTGACCTGTGAGGCAGGTACTGTCACTAACCCCATTTTACTGATAAGGAAACTGAGTCTCAGGGAGGCTAAAAGCCTAGGAGAGGCTGCTTATCCTCAATGCCCTGGCTCCTGGGGAATCTGCCCTCCCTGAGCCCAGAGGGAGGACCACGGGCGTGAGGAGAGGACCGCTGAGGGTCTCCGCACACACATACAGGCTGGCCTGGCCCCTTCCCCTCCACCCCTCCTCCGGGAGGGTCAGCAGGCTCAGGCCCTGCCCAGGACCCAGGACAGCCTTAGTGAGCGGGACTCCCTCACTGGAGCAAGATCCAGGTCCACCTTCAGAGTGTGCTGGCCCCTGTGGATGCTTCTGGAACA